TGGCTGGCATGTGGTGCTGGGGGATTGAACTGTGGTCCCTGTGCTTTGCTAAGCTTGTTCTTTTTTTATTTATGTGTGTGTGTGTGTGTGTGTGTCTGTGTCCAGCTCAGCCCACCAGGGGGCGGGGCAGGCTGGCATGTGGTGCTGGGGGATTGAACCACGGTCCCTGGGCTTTGCTAAGCTTCTTCCAAGTAGGTGCTTTAGACCACTGAGCCATCTCACCAGCCCCTAAGCTTGTTCTAAGTAGGTGCTTTAGACCACTGAGCCATCTCACCAGCCCTTTCAGACTCTTTATATATACACATGATCAACTACATCCAACATGGCGTTAGTACTTAGAAACCAAGAATTCACTTTGTAGCTCATATTGTTTGGGGTCAATAAGGAAAATAGGTCTTATTTTGTTTTTATATATAGCTATAGAGAAATACCTAATTTTTCTTCTATTTGGTTTAACACAGTAAAATCAGAACCACTGGCTTTAACAATTCCTTTGGCATTTAGTATTTGGGTTTCTGCTCCTTATTTCAAGCTCTCCTATGTGGTAGCTGGGCGTATGAGGGAGGAGAAGGTGCACTAGGCATTTGAAGGAGTCTTAGGCTGTGCTCTTCCTGCCCTGGAGCTGACCCCCTCAGGATCAGCCTGTAACCAGTGTGATGCCGTGTGGTTCTTCACCTGGTCACAGTCTGGCTTTCTCTTGCATTTTGGCTTCAAGTTGGCCTGATAGTTCAGAAAATGGTTGCACACAAGCCTCGTATCCCTCCGGCTGCTAGATGGTGCTTACTTAAGCCATGTTGCTTGTCCTTGCACAGCCCCAACACTCCCACTGGTTCTTACCCAGGTACGTTGTAAGTCACCTTAAAGAGCTAGAATGTGTTGCTCCCCAGTGACCTCATCTGGGAACTAGAGAACCCAAAAAGGCCCAATGCTGTGTCTTCCTGCTGCAGCTCATGAGATGGGTTTTTTTTCTGGAATCCTAAAAGCAGCCCTATTCCATCCCAGCCAAAGGCAGAAAAGAAATGCCCCCTCCTTTTTCTCCATCCTTTTCCTGTATTTGTCAGCACAAAATATGCAGAACTGGTATATTGATTATTTCAAGCTGAACACACCCAAGGAACTGAGACATTAGCAAAGGTCATTAGGCTAAGCTTTTCTTACATGCCACAAGTCATAAAGAGGTTTTAAGAAAAACTCGTCTTCCCATACCAAAGTGAAAAAAGAAAACAAAAAACACCAGATGCTGGTAAATGGACCAGTGTTCAGATAAAGAAGCTAAATAATGAAACTCATGGTAACCTTTATCTTCCATGAGCTCCAACACTCCCATATGGCAATGGGTAACATCTCTAGAATTTACTACTCTAGTTCAGAGATCCAAAATTTGTCCTGCTACTTCTTCAAAAATTATGTTTTTTTGTGTAAAAAAATCTAAGAGCATCATGCTTTTGTGATTTCTTCAGATTTCAATCTCTTATAAAGACACCATGTACAAGTAACTTTAATAAAATTTGTGTGCTTTTTTCTTGTTTATGTCTTATATATAATATGTTAAAATAATGAGACATGAATTTTAGAAATACCATTTTCTGTTTGTTTATATGGTCTTTTACATTTCTTGTATTCAAAGAGAAACTGAAGAGACAATTTTCATTCATGTGGATTTACAGATGGCAAGACATACCTTCAAAACATTAATGGAAAAGGAATGGATTTCTATCATGGTAATTGCCAATACTTACTTGAGGAATAGAATAATAGAATTTCTTTTTTAAAAAAACTTAAAGACAACACAAAATATTTAAAAAATTACAAACAACACAGAATTTTACTAAACAAAATAATAAGAGTACAACAATTGTTGCTTTGCATATGTCATCCTCAAATTAGTTT